TATATATATATTGCTGTGGAATCCAGAGTAAAATAAGATCACAGTTACTCATTTCTGCAGCAGCCATGACACATATAGGATTAGGAACAAGAATATCAACATTAGGCTGTGGAGATAGTCTAGTGTATTAAGCTCCTGCCTGGTAAGCTCAAGGACCAGGGTTCGATCCCTGGTACCATGTACTGTGCCAGCCCCAGAACCTCAGGTGTGTTGTGCTGGCCACCAAAACCAGGCATAGTGGCACATGCCTGTAATTTCAGTGCCTAGGAGGCTGAGACAGGAGGATCATTATGAGTCTGAGCTGCATAACAAGACCCTGGATGAAAGAAAGAAAGATTTTTAAAAAATTTTTAAGAACAATATCAGCACTAATGATCTTCTGTAACATTCCCAGTACAAAACCTTAGAGTAAACCAGCACATAACTTTAAAAGGGTTGAAAGTCAACTGACAAAAAAGTTTTTGTTTACTTGAAAATAGAGCACATCAAAAATACATTTTACCCGCTCTGACTTCTCGAATTACATGAAGACTTCGAAGTATAAACAATGTGCTCCTCAAAGTCACTGTCTTCTAGGAAACTAAAGAAATGACAGCACAATTTGAAGCCAACCTAAAGGAAGAAACATGAGGTGCAAATACTGGTCTCTCCGTTCCTCCACCTCAGTTTTTGCTTGGAACCATTAGTAGAGAATCTACAGGAGGTTTAGTGATTCCCATTTTGGGCACTTTGTACTGCAGGGGGAGAAATGGTGCTCTAATAGCTTAGAAAAATGACTGTAGGAAATGACTTCTGCCCTAGAGAATATCTGAGTCATTATAATTTCCAGGATAAAACATTCACTACAACTTTTAAATCTCCAGAGGGTTTAATCTACTTAAGCTAATGCAAGCAGAAAGAGACTATTACTCTAAAATGATTGTAATTGTCATTTCGGGGAGACCATCGGCTTTACACTCAATTCATCATAGATGTTTAATTTTCCTCTTCCATCAGAATGAAACATTGGAAGTACACTTTTCCACTCTTAGGGGAGGATGGGAAATCACCTAATAAGCTTGTCATCCTCATGAGTAACCTATGATTCAGAGTTCAAACTTATTAACATTTTGCTGCATGTAGATCCTTTTCCTCTCTGGTCTCTTAGATCTCTTGCCTCCACACACCTTTGCTCCATGTGGAACGGCCACTCACACTGCTTCTCAGACAGCCTTCATGCCAACACCCAGGCCCTTGGCTCCCCCTGGCAAGTCCTCTAGCACATGTTAGACCTAGGACCTTCCCAGCATCCTTGCCCCTGGGAAGCCTGCGAGCCCCTGACCTGACATTCGGCTGCCCATCCTCAGAATCCCTATCATCCTCCATCCCCCTGCTTGGCACTTACCATGCAACCCGGCAAAACCTTTGGCCACTTTGTGAGTCCCCTGTCTCCCTCACATGCTGTGCACTGAGGTCCTCAACTGAACCCTCCTCCAGTGTCTGATGTGACTTTATGTCCAGCGCTTAGGCCTGGCATTAGTAGGCATCAGAGATATTTGTTGAAGGAATGGATGAAAGTGAATGAATAATATGATCTAAAGATGTGTTACTTTGTACTTCAAATTATTTTACTATTTGCAAGAATTGCAATAACTGCATATATATTTTTTTGGGGGGGGGTATGGCCAAATATCTTTTTAAGTGGGAAAAACTGAACTTTGTTTCTCTGATTTTCTCGTTCTCCAAAGTCATTTGAATTATTCTTATAAGTTAAGCAAATGTAAGCTAAGACTGCCCGCCAATGGAGAGGGATAGACGGAGAACAATCTCCTTGAGTGCCCCACATTCCACAAAGGGGTGAGCTGGTTTGTATAAGCACCCCTGGGCTTCAGGAGACCTTCCGCGAGCCAGAGTATTGCTGCACCAGCCTCAGGGGCAAGGAAGTAGACAGTGTGCCTAACCTTGGGGATAGACAGCTAGGAGAACGATCAGGTGCGCCCAGCACTGGTGACAGGAGGCACAGAGTAGTCCTGAGTCAGAGACCCCAGGGACCCCACAACCACATTCAGGGCATATTTACCTTGGGCAATGATTGCATGAGAACCAAGTTGCAAGTCGCTAGCAGCACTAACCACCAGGGGTCAGGCCTCCTTGGCTTGGAGCTTCTTAATGGAGGACTCTCGGAGCATCCTCCTGTCTGTACTGGGTGTGGCTACACTCTGGAGGCCAAACAGAATAGGCAGAGCCCACTCCTCCTTCTCCTACTTGCCCTCCTGTGACAGGCTGGGGACTGCCTACTCCATTTCCCAGTATAGAGGCTGGAAAACCAAATGCAGGACCTGAGTCCCAGCACTTTGGGCAGTAGAAGTGGCCATGTGATCCAGCTCTGGTCCATGTATTTTACACAGGGGAAAGGTTCCGGGGGGGGGGGTGTTGGTTTAGCCTTCATTCTCCTACAATTAAGAATTGTATTGAGTCCCTCCCTTCCTCCTTCTTCCTACCTTATATACATGTAGATACTTCAGGTCCTATAAGCATCTTACAGTTAGGTGGAAACAAGCCATTTTGCTATGGCAGAGAAGCAAAAGAACCTAGACCACTGCTAACATTGGGTAGCTGTTGTTAGCCGCAGGCTTCTTTTCACTTGGGTAAAACACAACCCGTGTGCCTAAGCTGCTGCTGGATGATCTGTCACATGGCAGTAAAGCATCCTTAGCTGACACTATTCACACTCATAGTCACATGTCAGACACCTGTAACCATAAGGGCTACATAGTCCCACAAGGGAGGTGGCCCTCCAACGACCCCTAGTAGTCCGCTACTCAGAATACAACAGTGCTCTAAGGCACCACGCTCCAGGATGACAACAGGGTATTGCTGCAGCCAAACAAAGGGCACTGTGAGTAAAAATCTAAATGCCTGCTAGAGTTTAAAGTCCAGTCTTGAATTGCAAGCCCCACTACAAAAAGCAACAATGGACAATGATCCAATGGGACAGATTCTTCCACAACCTCTCCCTACTCACCTCAGTGTGCCTAGTATGGATGAAATAGTTAACAGAGTTCAATGTCATACATGAAAAAAGCATATTTAATTTTTAAAATTATATTTCAGTGTAAGGATTCTGAAATCCGAAAGAAAGAAGTGAAACTTGTAGGTCAAATGGAAACCAAATGGAACCATTTGACTCTATAATTGGATTTGAAGGGAAGTGAAACAGTTATTGCATTTTTATATCTATCTCTATATTATGTATTTTGAATTTTTATTATAAGAATTTATTACTGGGCAAATACGAAAATCTTTCTTACAAAGGAATCTGTCTTCAAGGTGACAGTCATCACAGTTTAAGCCTCAGCATTGTGGTGTGCAGTTTCTCACCAATGAACTAATTAAAGTGTAAAATTTTAAATAACTTACTTCATGGCTAGAGATTGCACATTTAAAGGTTCTTTTGTCTGAACCAAAAGTCCCTTCTCTAACCAGCATGCTACACACGTTTCAGGTCCCAAATATTCTGGACATGCCTGTGTTCTCAATCAATTCTGCTTACCAAACCAAAATTTCTTTGAATGACACCTTTATTAGGTTATATCTGCGGAGAACATCTTCCAATAACCACAGCCCCATAGATTTAAAGTGTTTTTAGGAATAATAATGATCTTAGCTTCTTATATCATCTAAGTAGGGATTTAGTTATTGTTCATATTTGTCGAGACCTTCTGGGGTGTTTGTCCTTAGAGTTCTATCCTGGAACTTTGGGGAAATGGTTTAAGTGCACGAACCGCTTTCTGTAAAACAAAACAGACATTCCGAAGAAGGACTTTTGTAATCCCAAAACTGGGTAGCTGGTGATGACGTATCTCAGACAAGGAAATACGTCTAATGTGAGGAAAATTAATTCTTCAAATGTAGCCTTTGTAAATGTACAAGATATCCACATGAGAACCAAATCCAGGCTGAATTTAATGTCAGAGGAAATGAGCACTTTATTTGATTAAAAGGCTGACGTGAAATTTTGCCCTAAGTCAACAAGGCTGTCTGGAGAATTTCACTAGACTCCAGATTCTGCATGTCTTAAAAAAAGATCTTTAGGCCTATGCAAGAAGTTGACCCTAGGTTGTCCAAACTAACTCATCAGTAGGCTTCCATTATCATAGCTTAATAAGAAAAAAAGAGCCTATCTTAAAGAGAATGTGAAATAACCACCTGCATCCATAAAGTGTAAGAACATTAATCAACTCTAAGTGGGAGAAATGTCTAAATTGTCAGCTTACTCAATAGCCAATACTACACCACCACTTTGACGCTATATATATATATATATATATATATATATATATATATAAAATACGTGTGTGTGTGTGTGTGTGTGTGTGTGTGTGTGTAAATTTCAAGCAGAAGGATTATGGACAGGAAAGACTTTTCTGTTACCATACGCTAAGCAAATGGGGACAGTCAGGCTTAATTCCAAGTTTTTCCAGTAATACACAACATGTCGCCTAGATTTTTATCACAAACACATGCTGTATGTTCGGCTCCTGAACTCCATGTCTGTAGGTATCATTTTGCTATTGATTTCTAGATTAATTACATCAGGATCAGTGGGCATGTTGTCAACGATTTTAATCCTCTTAACAATTTAGACCTGCCTTACAGCCAGTCCTATAGACATCAACTTTTATAAATGTTCAGTGAGCTCGAAAAGAATGTGCATTCGGCAGCCATTGGGTGTTAGGTCAATTTGATTAATGACATTGTCTAAATCTTCCATAACTTCCCTCCATTAGTTACTTAAAAATCTAACATGATTTGTCTACTGCTTTTACTTTGTAAATTGGATGCCACATCGTTATTGCAGCTGTTATAATTTACTGGTGCACTAACTGACATGATGAGTGACTGTAATGGTTGATATGCTGTGTCAACTCGAGAAGTTTAAGCAACTCGGCAGGGGCCAGGGTATTCACCTGGTAAACACCCTCATCCTGTGCAAGCGTGGAGACGGTGTATTTCACGCCCCAACCCCAGGGGCTGGCCCAGTATGACATAAGGGAGAAAAGAGGTCTGCTCTCCACTTTTGCTCTTGCTGCTTTGCTGTCTTCCACCACCCTGGACTGCTTTCCCTGTGCCATGTGCCACCCTGCCTTGGAGCCAGCTCATTATGGACTGAAACCTCCACAAACTGTGAGCTAGATCAGTCTTTCCTTAATTTTGAATGTCGGGTATTTTGTCTCAGCAACAAGGGAAAAGTAATCAAGACAGTGACGATTGTTAATAATGGTTTTTTATTTAAGACGTATCTTACCTAACATTAAGGTTTATCTGAATTTCCTAGAAAACTGTATGATGTATATTTTTTTCTGTACTTTCACTTTAAATTTTCTTGCATATTTAACATAAATCCCTTGTAAATGCTATATAATGGACTTTTAAAATCATGTCCGGCAGAGTTTTGATTGGGACATGATCTATTTGCATGCACTTACTAACACCTCAGAATAAACTGCTCTCTTATTTTGCGCTATTTGTCCTATATTTTGTTTCAGTTATTTTCTTTCCTTGCCTTTTGTCTCATCATATTTTGTGCCTATAAATTTTCCCTTTGGTTTGACAGTTTCCGATTCTTTTAGTAGATAACTTACAAATTGCAAAATGCATATTTATGGAAACCTAAGATCAATCAGTAATTTTATCCTCTTTTCAGGCAAGTTAAGAGCAGATTAACCAGGAACTCCAACTCTTTCCCTCCTTGCCAGTGTATACGTTAATTTCATTCTTTGCTTTTAAAATCCCACAGGGTATTCTTTTATACTATCAACATTCACGCAGATTTAGCCACATATTTACCACTTTGTTAAATTTTAGTGCATTTTCTGTGGCTATCGCTGAGCTTCAGTTAACTTACCGAATGGTTCCGAAGTCCAGAGCATGGCACCAGCGTCTGCTCGACATCTCTGTGGCGAGGGCCACGGTGGAAAAGCATCACCTGCTAAGATGGAGCAAGGAGACCAGAGTAAGAGTTTATTTTTATAACAAAGCGCCCTCCCCCATGATACTCCTCCAGTCCTCTAGTCTACACACCCATGGATGGATAGAGCCATCCCTGAGGGCAGGGTGACCAGGAGCCAACCGCCTAACGGTCCTGCCTCTGAATGGCTCACAAAGGACATTCGGCTTCAGTGTGCAGCCTGCTGGAGACGCCAAACCACGGCAGGTCTTTGTTCCCTCGTTTCTTTCCTGTTCTCTTTCCTTCCACGTGAAGTTTGTGTCTTCAAAGTTCGTATCTTATTGATGGGAACTCCGTTTTGCCATCCACAAAATGTCTTTATCTCTTTTTTTTCTTGAAAATATATTTTTACTGGACACAAATTTCTATGTCAACAGTTTTTCCCCTTGTAGCCTACTGAAATTACTGTACTACCTGCTGGCGCAGCCGTTTCCAACTGGCACTTCTTTGAATATAATTTTTATTCTTCAACTTCCTAAGATTTTATTTGCTTTAATGTTCATAGTTTCATCGTATGTCAAACATAGAATTGTTTTCATTTAATCTATTTATAAGATTCCTGCCAGGTGTGGTGGTGCATGCCTGTAATCCCAGCATTGGGAGGTTGAGGCAGTAAGATTGTTGCGAGCTCAAGGCCAGCCTCGGGTACAAAGTGAGCTCAAGGCCAGCCTGAACTGCATAGAGAAACCCTGACTCAGAAGACCAAAACAAAAAAAAAAAGTTTTCCAAATTTGTGAATTAGTGTTTTTCATTGTTCTGAAAAATTCTGTTGTCCTTTCATTTGGTTTCTGTTTCAACCCTGTTCTGTCTTTCCAAAACTCCTACTAAGTATGTTAAATCTTTATTACTCTGTCTCCTAAATTTTTCATTCATGATTTTTGCCTGTGATGGTTAATCTTCATTATCAACTTGACTAAATTGAGAGATAAACAAAGCACACTTTAGGTGTGTCCAAGGTGCTTCCAGAAATGCCTGCCTTGCAAGTCATCGAACTGAATGGAGATCTCTGCTGAAATAGGGATGGCACCATCCAGGCCGCGTGCCTGGCTAGAACACAAAACCAGAAGGGCAGACTCTTGAACCCACACATGCTGGACATCAGCGGGAGGTGACCCGTGCCGGGATGTCACCGTGGATGAGGCTCCAGACTCCTCAGCCTTTGAAAATTTAAATTTGGATGAGTGACTGGGGCATTTCCAGACCTTTAGCCTCAGACTAAAGGAACAGCACCAACTCCTCCGTTCTGAACCTTCCGGCTCATGGACTGAGCTGTGACCAGTCTCCCCAGCCCTTCAGCCCACACAGGGTCAGTGTGGAGTGAGCCCCTGCTGCGAGCCGAGGGCGAGTCAGATGGAGGAGTCTTTTTCTATTAGCTCTGCTCCCCTGCAGTGTCCAAATCTTTTGTCCCTGGTATACTCCAAATAATTTCCAGGGGCCTAACTTTCTGTTACCTCCCTCTTTTCAGCTGTGTGATATATAAGTGTGTATAATATGAACTTTAAATTTTAAGGATTGTATTTCTTATTCCTAGCCTTGCTTGGTTCTTTTCCACATCCCTGGCTGACTTGGGGGCAGGATAACTCTGCTATCGGAGGGCCAACATAGGGTATTTGGCAGCAGCCCTTGCTGCTGCCCTGCAGGTACCAGCTGTGTCTCATCATGAGGTCAAAACTGTCCCACAGGAGCACGAGCACTCTCTTAATAAATGCTGCTTACACCATCATGACTACAAGAAAACAAATGCAACCACCAGCTGTGTGATGCGGCTACAGCGAAGTTATATTACTCACACCAGTTTCTGTCTGGCACCGAGCTTTCTGGTACAACAGTCACACACGCGTGGGCAATGAGCGCCTGAGCTAAGGCTACTCTGCCTGAGAAATGGAACTGAGGGTATGCCAGGCCTGTATTTTGAAGTATTGGCACAAAAAAAGGAAAGGAAAGGAAGTATCTCAATAATTTTTAATATTAAGCCAATGGGAGTACACTTAGTGGGTGAAATACATTTTTAAGTAAATTTCATCCTGTCAATTACAGCCCCAAGAAATCCATTCACTTGTGAGCATCATAACTCTTTATGGGGCCTAAGAGACTTCTCCGTTTCTTTTCTATTCCAATGCTTTATTCTCAGGGTTTCAACGGGCTCTTTCCTCCTTGCCAGCTCATCTTCGTGTTGCTCCTTCTCGTTCTCCTGCACGGGGGCTGCTTTCCCGCACCCCAGAGCTTTCCCAGGGGGAGGCTGAGCTGCAGCAGCATCCATCATGCTTAGGAAGTCGTGAGCTGGGAGCGGGGGCTTCCACTCCTGAGCAGGTAAGATTTCTGGAAAGCACAGCCAAGGGCTAATGAGTAGGTAACACCTACAAAGCTACCACAAGAATATACTTAGAAGTGATTTATTTTGCAACATATATTTGTAGACATGAAGATTTTTGTTTTACTTATCTAAGAAGGATTTTTTTTAGTGCCACAAGAACTAGCTATATTTGTCCCAACTCCCCACAATGAGTATAATAATTATGTTCTGCAAATATGCACTAATACAAACTTTTATTCATTTATTTATTTTTGGCGGGGGTACCAGGGATTGAACTGAGGACCTTGCGTTTGCCAATCAAGCACTTATTCCATTTAGCTATCTCCCCAGCTCACAAATTTTTAACTTTTAAATATTTATCATTACTAGCTATTTCTGGTTTTTATATTACAAGTTATTTTCTACATAGAGATAAATTTTGATAAAGGGGAAAAGGATCTATCATGTTACCTCCTGTTAACTTTTGCTTGCTAGGCTTTTTAAAACTAACATTACATATAAACAGATGTAATGTTCTTAGAATGAAAAGTCTCCTGCCTCCCTCCCTCCCCCAATGTTAAAATACTTAACTATTTCTTATGAATCATTCCAGAAGATTGCACAATCTGTTACATGATAAAATCTTCACATAGTGTAAGACTTTTTGTTACATCAAATTTCACACATTTGCCTGGTATAATAATGATCTAGGTTGCCATGTGGTCACTTGTTTAAATTAAAACCTTAATTCTGTTACCACAGTTGTAAAATAATGGCTAATATGCAAATATAAATTAACATATAACACCTCTGCTGTAACATAAACTTCTCTATTTTCAGAAAAGGACCAATTATAACATCAGAAGCCAGGATCATACATTCTGAGCAAGGCCTTTTTCCTTGAGTTTCAAACTTCTGGTCCTGTCCAAATTGGAAAGAAAGCAATTAAACTATCCTTGCTTACAAAAGATACAATCTTTTTTTTTTTTTCTTTTTCAACAAATAATACACTGCATATATTCTTCTTAGTGGTTAATTGCTGTATAAGATGTGGACTTGTGATCCTATTTACAAACACCATTAGAACAAATCATTCTATTCATTAACAGAAGTAACTATATATCTATCCCAGCCACTTTGAATACACAGATACAAAATGGACATTCATCTGTATACCCCATTTTTTCTAAGTTCCGTTATTGAATATTATAGGTGTGTAAACTCAGCAAAATATTCTAAAAGAGTCCAGTAGCCCATAATAGCATTGGGTCTTCTGTTTAACTGGCAATGTCAGAAATTATTGACCTGAGTCAAGATACAATCTTTTTAAAAATCTCTAAAGACTCCACCAAAAACTCTCCCATAATAAATATATTCAGTAAAGCTGTAGGTATCAAACTGACATATCAACAGCATTTTTATATGCTAACTATAAGCCAACTGAAAAAAATATCAATAGCATCCAATAATAAAATATATAGGAATAAATTTAGCTAGGGAAGTGAAAAATTTAAAATACTGATGAAAGAAACTTAAGAAAAAAAGGAAAAATATCCCTGCTCATGAGTTAAAAAAATGTTACAATGTCTGGGTTACTCAAAGCAATCTACAGGTTCAAAGCAATTGCATTAGAATCCCAATACTTTTGATCTAAAAAAACCCCTAAAATTAATTTAGGCAAAGCAATCATTAAAAAAACTATAGTTACCTGACTTCAAAATATGTTACACAAAGCTACAGTAAACAAAACAGGCTAGTGGCACAAGACAGACACATAGCCCAGTGGAACAAGGTAGAGACCAGAAATAAATGCAATTACTTAATCTCAACTAATCTTTTCTTTCTTTCTTTCTTTCTTTCTTTCTTTCTTTCTTTCTTTCTTTCTTTTTTTTTTTTTTTTTGTATTTTTGTTTTTAGGGAAGGGTCTACAGGGTGTTCAGGGTCTTACTACTAGATCGGACTCATAGTGAACCTCCTTTTACAGCCTCCCAAGAGCTGGGATCACAGGTGCGTGCCACCACGCCCAGTCTCAACAAAAGTACCATAAGCACATAACTGAGAAAGTCTTTAGTATGTGTATTGGGTTCAATGTGTATTGCAATGAGAGTTAAAAGAACAATGTTAGATGCTTAGCAGTCTCATCTACAAAACAAAAAAAAAATCAAATCAAAATAGATTAAAGTCTTAAATTACTAGAAGAAAACATAAGGAAAGAGCCTCTTAAAATTGTTTTGTTTTTTGCAATTTGGGGAGCTTTTAAGAAATATGATCTGGAAGCACAAACAACAAAAACAAAGCCAGACCAAGGAGACTGTTTTTATCAAAGACAAAACTTGTGCTAGGCAAAGGCAACATCAGAGTAGACAGACTGCAGGATGGGAGAGATCTCTGAAGACCACACATAGGAAAGGGCTGAATATCCAAAAGACAGAAGCAACCCAACAGCAAGAAAACCACTCAACTCAAAATTAAGCAAAGGACTTGTGCGTTTTCCACAACAAACTGTCATACCTGTTTAAGAATAAATTTTATGAAAAAGACAAAAAGTAAGTATGGGTAAGGATGTGGATAAAAGGTAACCCTTCTATATGGTGGGTGGGAAATATAAATTAGTAAAACTATTATGGAAAATAGTACAAAAGTTATTTTAAAAATTAAAAAAAAAAATAAAGGGCCAGCCAGATAGCTCAGGGGACTAAAGCACCTGCTTAGGCAAATGCAGAGACTGGGGTTCGATCCCCAGCACCACATGCTGTGCTGGATCTGGCCCCAGGGCACACTGAAATAGGGACTGAGCCGGGCGTGCTGGCGCATATCTGTGATCCCAGTGCTTGGGAGGCTGAAAACAGGAGGATCACTGAGTCTGATCTGTGTAGTGAGACCCTGTAGATCCTGTACTAAAATATATTTTTTTAAAAAAGAAAGAAATCAAAGTAGAAATAATGTTTAGTATTATTTTAAAAAAGAATGTTATTGGCTTTAAAAAACGGAGGAAAAGACTGTCATTTGCAATAGTGTCAATGACTCCAAAAGATATTATGTTTAGGAAAATAAGCCAGGCACAAAAAGACAAAGGCCTCATAACCTCACTTGTAAAGATGTTAATCTAAAATAAAGAGACACGAAGAAGCAGCGGTTGAAGGCAGCTGCCAGAAGACGGGCACAACACAGGGCAAGAAGCGGAGCGATGCTGGCAGGACAGTATGAAGCTGGGCAGAGGGGAGAAGTAAATTCTGGAGCTCTGTCGTACAGCATGGTGACCATGTAAACACCAGTGCATCCTATACGGAAGAATCCGACCAGGAGATTTTGCATGTTCTCATCACAAGGAGATGCTGTGTATCTGACAGATGTTAATTAGCTTGATTTAATCTGTCTACAAGGTGTACATGTATCAAAACACCACGCTGTACAGCATAAATATGTATTTTCTCCTCTGACAATTAAAATTTTTGGATCTAGAGTAAAAGAGGCTGGAATCCAAGCTTCCTCATTTGCTGGTTAATTATGACTTTCTATGCATTAGCTCTTACTGAATTCGCTAAAACAGCAGAGTACTTATTTTCTCTGGGTAATACCCACCCCATCGGGTTGTTAGACTACACCAGATAATCCCTAAAATACACTTAGCACTATGTTCAATGAATACTATTTTGATAGTATCTTTCTATAAAGTATTGGCCTACAACATAAAGGCCAACCCACATAAAGCAATAGTAACAACAGTTAGTATTGAGGGAGAAACCAGGTGGAGCTCCAGGTAGAGGTACACACTTTCAGCAATTTAGAGTCAGTGTCACACAAAATGTTCTCACTTTCTACAAAACATATTTGCTTGTAGTTATAGAAAAAAGAAAACCTGGCACGCACACAAGAAAGCGACCTAAGAACTGGCTTGCAGCGTGCACAATGTCAGGCAAAGCACTCATGCTTCCGCAGGTCACTGTTCCCACTACAACAGTCTTCTAAAGTGAATAAACTACAAAGCCACATGCTTGAAGATACTGACAATCTACAGAAGCAATACGCATTTTTTAAAATGTATTTAGTACAGGGTACAGGGTCTTATTACATAGATCAGACTCGTAATGATCCTCCTGTCTTCAGCCTCTCAAGTGCTGGGATCACAGGCATGCGCCACCATGCCCATTCTCAGTCGCCATCTCAGTGTGCCCCAGGAGCGGGGCCGGCATGGCTTGTGGTGCCGGGGATCGAACCCCTGCTCCTGCGTTCTGCCTAAGCAGACACTTTAGTCTGCTGAGCTACCTGGCCGGCCCTAGCAATATGGGTTTAATGAATTAAAATGCAAAAGAAGAAAGAGGCTTTAGTAGACAAGCTGACCATTCAGCAGGTAGGCAGCTATCCCCGGTGGAGCCCTGCCCTTTAGGACGCACGAAGCTGTCACAGGCAACGCTATCAATGTATTAATATTTAGGGTACTTAGAAACATTACAGTTCAACTCCTCCTAGCATTCGTTAGCTATAATTAAAGTTTAAAATCCATCCAACAAAATGCAAAATTGTGTGTTTTAAGAGAAAACTTACTGATATGATTCTCTAGTCCTACTTTTAATTTCTTAAGCCACAGTGCAAGGTTTTGTTCATTTATAGGCCGGTCTGAAGGAAACGCGAACACTTGGCCATTTGAATGCAGATTCACCAAAACCAGAAGAGGAAGAGGAGGCAGACGGCCAAAATACACCTGCAGGACTCCTCTGCCCACAGGAGTATTCTTGCTATGAGAGGAAACAAGTCAAATAGGTTAAGTAGCAGGTCTTTCTTTAACTAAAAAATGAAAATAACAGTTTATGGAACACTGAACTTTTAGTTGGTCTCAAGTCCGTAAGTTTACGAAAAGACATCTTAAACACCCTTTGAATACGCTGTTCATAATCAGATTCTTAAAAAGCTTTCTGTTCACATCAGCTCAAACCCTAATCGGCAACATACTTATATAGGATATTTATTTGTAATTACTTATTTATTTGTTCGGTACAGGGTCTCACTATGCAGCGCAGACTTGTAGTGATCCTCCTGTCTCAGCCTTCCCAGTGCTGGGATTACAAGTGTGTGGCAGCATGCCCAGTCTCCGTGGGCAGCAGTGTGCCTGGGGTTCTGAGGCCACTACAGCACGTGGTACTGGGAATCGAATCCAGGTCCTTGTGCTTGCCAGGCGGATGTTTACACCCCCCCAGCTGTCTCCCCAGCCCTAGGACATTTAGTTTTATAAATACAACTTTTCCAAACAAAGTTGTGCCTTTTCTCAGGAAAAGGAAGGTTTTAATCAAATAATGAATCTTTCAAAGAGATGAAAATAATTATGTTCCTCTACAGAAAAAATTAAAGACACCTAGTGTTCCTAATGTAGCACATGCCACCTTATGCAAAATCCCACACAGAGCTAACTCACAAGGGAAAGCTACTCGGGACAATGGCATCTCCAGCAGTAAGATGTACTGTTCATAAAACTTTAAACAACTATATACTGCCCTATTTCTCTAATTTTCAAAAATCAGAAAAATTATTACTTGAATTTTTATTGTAGAATAAGACGCAGTCTAAAACAAGATCATCTAGGGTGCCATCTGCAGGACTTTAATTGCTAAAATGTAATGACAAGGTATCTGGTCTCATATGAACTGCTAATGCAGAATTACACAGAGTCATTTCCTAGAAAAGAGAATTACACAATCTTTGCCTTTATAAGAAAAAGTAAAACAGACTTACAGATTCAGCCAGCCAGGAGTAAATGAATCCGAGTGTTCGTGTTCCACCAGTGTCAATATTGCTTTTCTGTACTGAGGATTTATGCTGCCATCGCTGAATAAAATCAGTAATGGTTTCTGAAGTCTTAAATAAGTGGGAAGATTTTCCACAGTGATTTCTGGCTGTTACAAGAGAAGAACCAAACCAAATAAAACAAAAGAAGAAAAAAAACACTAAAATTAAATGCATGGAAATTACAATGGATAAAACAGAAAACAACATTCAAATCACTCCTACGATTTGAGTTCATACAATGCAGTCAAGTATATTTCCATTTACATAGTGATTTTCCATGCAATAACTATAAATCTCAAGAGTTTTCTTATTCGATCCCATCTCATCTTAATGAGTTTTTGAAGTAAAATTACTAATATACTTTAATAAATTTAATATTCCTAACTGCTTATGCTACTACCTAGCCCAGGTTAGCAAACATATACATGACTCACAAAAGCTTCTTGTTACGATTTTACTCTAATAAAGGTGGAGTGAAAGTACATGCAGAAATTTAAAAATATAACTGTTAAATAATCCCATGACTACTTAAAAATTAATTTAGCTTTTTCCAATGCTGTGGGTATGTTGGCATAATTAAAACAAATAGTAAAGAAAATCTAAGAACCAATCTCACTT